ATATATATACACACATTTTATCCGAAAGGAAATTAAAAACACTATTATAGGTTATATATATATATATATAGTTATATCTATTTTAATAAGATGGAAATAATAACAAAATGTGTTTGATGTTAAAAATGTGATGATAAAATTCGTTAACGACCGAAGAAGAAATATTTTCGTTATAACTTGTGCGGCTCACGTGTATATGTGTATAATATATACCTTTAAGTTTAGTGTTGGATTTAGCGTATTATGTGCATTTTGGAACACTTCCAAACGGACGAACTGCAATTTTTATTCAAACGATAAATTGTAGTACACACACATTTTTTTCCCAGAGATAATTAGAGTTTTATGTATTTATACGTGTGATTTCGCACGATGGTGTAAATTTGGCTCAAAAACGATCGGACGTGCGTATTATACATATTATTGCACAAACTCGATCGAATGGTTAATTTTTCCAACAAACGATCAGTTTTCGAGTGCATACTTGTTTCCATCGCGTAAAACGATATACCCAATAATATAACGCGTCCACAGTGTACAAAGTAGGTACAAACCCGAACACGTACACGCGTTTCAGAATGTATTTTTCCAGAGATCTATGCGTCGTACGTTTTATTTGTTTATCACTCTATCGCATATTGTTAGTGTAGTGCGTACAAACACGTAATTACGTTTATGAAATGATTCGTGAACATAAACACATGCATAACACAAAGGCCATCGATACATGCATACGACCATCCGGATTGTTTTCGTCGGATACATATTATATATGTATGTGTACATCGATGAGAAAAAAGAATTAACCTATACCGAAAAGTGGACAAAGCTTTTAACGTAACACTTTTTTTCTTTTTTTTACAGCGTTCCGGTTCGGAATAATGTATAAGTGAAACAATATTATACAGGGGTCGTGAACCAAAAAAAAAAAAAAAATAAAAAATCGGCTTTTCGAAGGGATACGGGAGGCTTTCATCATTATCATCAACATCGATAACACGAATCGCCCATTATATGGCAACTTTTTTCCCCCTACTCGCGCACGAATAATAATATACGCGGGCCGAATTATTTTTTTGCAAGATGAAAACTCGTAATGGTGTTTAAAATATGATTATTATTTTTCAATAAAAAAAATTGCCGGCTTTCTCTTTCTCCTCGTACACATATATACATATACGTGCATATAAACGCGATTTGGTTTTTTAAACATTATCCGGTCAACCGCTACAGCAGCAGCCGTCGGCGGGCCGGGGATAGGTTTTTTTTTAATTTTTATTGTTGTTGTTCGTTTTTTTTATTTTCATTTTAAAGCACCCCGCTCGGAAAACATAATAATAACGTCCGTTTCTAAATGCAAAATCCTACATACACGTAATCTATATTTATAGGCACAACAATACCTGTACGCATTTCCGATGGTGAAAAATTCAATTATCGCAGAGGGTGTCAAACAGAAAAACAAAAATCCGCGTGCATATGTATTACAACAATTCACCCCGAATATCCGATAACGACGTATGGTCTAGCACATCACGGAACACCAGCAACGTAATATATGCATATATTCCCGGCCAGTCAACCATAATTGTTATAATATATAGGACGTGTCGCAAAGTATAAGCATATGTATATATAACTCATATATAAAACATTAGTATCTATACTTGTAAAGCTTCTAATCGGTTGGAATCATGTTTCGCCATACCATTAACATCCGAAATAAGCCATACATTATTATGTATATATTTATGCGAACTTATACGTAAGCATAGCACATATATAATTATAATATCAATTAAATGCGGTGTTGTATATTGGACATGTTAAAGGTTTTGCAAAAAAATGTGTTCACAAATTGTCGACAACAAAACGATTAACGAAAAAAAAACTAGAAAATAAAGAATGAACAATATATATAAATTAATGTAATCATAAGCGGGTATAGTGGACGCAAAATTAAATACGAAAACCTGTGTCCACACGATTTAAACAATAAAGTTGAAATCTATCTGTTCGGTTGTGTGACGGCAAAGGTTAGATTATAAAGGTCAACCGTAATCAAATGCTTGTTAATCGCAAACGAAAGACGTTTGTTTAAAAGTACTATGTTAAAAAATGTATGCGTCGGTCAAGAATTAGAATTTGTAACTGTGTCAACATATTGTACACAATGTAACTATTGAGTGTAATTATCATATTCGGTTAAATATAGCGCACCTATATGTGTACATATTGCAGAGTCGGATACGCAACAAAAACACGGTATTTTACGCATAAATTACGAATAGATACGATCTATAAATAAAGTGTAATATGTCAAAGGATTGAACTGCAGTCATTAGTACATTTTTACCATAGCTGTAATATATATACACCGAACATTTTCAATCTATCGTAAAACCGTAATATGTCTGCGCATTGTACGTTCTCTAATAGATTCTATATGTACGGGGTGTTGTAAATTCTACCCGAAATGAATAGGTAAAAACAAAGTCTATGGTAAATTCCGCCCGGGAAAATATCTAAGTAAAAAAAGTACATGTAAATTTCGCCTAAAAAAATATGCAGGTACAAAAATGAGTCTGTCAATCGTCAATCATATCATATCTTATCAGCTTTGCCGCATATTGAGGATCTAATAATTGGAAATATCAGATAGAAATCTTATAAATTGAGTTCAGTACACGTTCTAGATTCTTATCATAGGCGGAAATTGATGGAAGATGGGCTTGAGAGGACTAAGCCCCCCCAGAAATGTAAAGTACAGGTCTTAATCCCTCTAGCCCAAAAAATTGTTAAGTGACTAAAAATACAATAATTATTATAATTGTAAAAGGCATTTTTAATAACTGAATTAAAAAAAAACATTCTGAGATAAAAATTTAATCAAATTCGTAAGATTTTACAAACTTATTGTCATGACTTGGAACGATCGTAATAAATGTAATATTAATTATATGTAATAATACCTGCATTGATTGTTTAATTTAAGGCATCTAATTGTTTTTTTTTTTTGGTTAAATCGTTGAGTATGTCAAATTGTCAAACTTTGTAAATTGCCTTGTTGAAATAAATAATTGCGTACATGGGTACCTATAAGTGTAATAACCAAATAATGCTCAGCCCCCCACTAATTTTACCAAATTTCCGTTTATGATTCTTATACGCTATAATGGCTCAATTTATAGGCTCGGAACATGGAAATATACTTTTAGTATTAGACAATTTAAAATTGTCTAAAGTATACTTATAAGTTATGTGTAGGATGTGTTTATTAACTATCAATTTATTCCCATAGGTATCCATTTTTGTACACATTGTGTTGCTTGTATAGGCGCAACATTTGTACAGCATAAATAACCGTATAGGTGCATATAACGTTGATGGTGAAATTTTCCAATAAGATTTCGAACAAAAAGAGTACATGATTAGTTTGTACGTTCAAACGTTACCACAGAAACAGTTTTGGATTCACTCATTTCGTACAACGAGATCGAAATACACTAGTTTGTGTCATTATTGCTTTACGAACAATGTACGAAAACGGTTACTAACCATGATGATAGATATACATTCGAAAATAACGCGCACGCGGGTTTTATTGTACAGTACTGTCGAGACGATTACAAGTCGCTGTGTTTTTACATGTTACGCGCACAAACGTAATAATATACCGATTATCCGCGGGCGCAGAAATATTATTATAAATATCCGTACGTGAAAAAGTCGTTTGAAACGCGGTGCGGCAAGCGTCTTTATTTATTTATTTTTTTTATGAATATTATACATTTTTTATTTTTTTATTCAATACAAAACGTTATCCAGCCGCAAACGTAACATTACAAAGCTCGATGGGGCACGATTGCAAACATGCTGCGCGTGCGTTTCGAAAACACACACGTATAATGTAAGGTACACACACGCGCAAGTACAAATGTAATTAAACGAAAACATATTTGTGTATAAATACATACGTGTAAAATGATACGGTGTAATATTATTATACGTGTAGGTACGTGTAGCGGGTGCGTTACACATAATATTATCGTATACGGTTGATACAGCGGTATCAACATCGGATTATCGACCGGACAAGCTTATAATATGCGTACAACTCACGGAACGAATGTATACTAATAATAATTAATAAAATTTCCTATGAATAACAGGTTAAGTAATTTTACCTTGATATAAGTTGTTATTTTTTATTTTATTTTTTTACGCATACACGCATGCATATTTTACCAATTTTACCCGCTATAACTGCTGCTCTTTCCTAATTATAATAATTAATCACGTGACCATGCCCAAGAATGACTATACAAACAAAATTGGTAATAATTTAACATTGCACCACGCAGATGTGACGAACGGACTGTGTGTATTCTAACGAATATTATAAATATGTGTCGTCGGGTTTAATAATAGAAAATGTGAGTGTGCGCGATACGCACGCGAATGTATTCAATGTACGCGCAGACCCATCTATTTTCGAACACATCCGCGGTATATACCTGCCCCAACCTAAGGGTATACCATACACTCGAACACACACAAGTATACGAGATTATTTTATACGTATATATAAATATAATATATAAAGAGAGAGGGACGTATGATTCGACGTGCATAGGTCAAATGAGTGCGAAGAGAGAATGAGAAAAATTCAAAAATAAATCGTGGCGGCCAACTCTACTATTACTACCTACTACTACTACATGTCCTTCCCCCTGTTACACGTCCCGTGGACGAACCGCACAAACGTTCCCATTGGACGGACGGATGCAGCGGCGTACAAACGAAATGTTGTCGTCCTCGTTCTAGGTGGTGTAAACGCGTTTTATTATTTTAACGCGCACCTAAATACGTATAGCCGTGCGTGTACGCGCCGCAAAATAATACATACGAGATTTTGCCCTCACGATTATTATACATGTGTGTGTGTGTGTGTGTGTGTGTGTGTGTGTGTGTGTGTGTATGTTTTTGGGGGTACTCACCCGTTGAAAGGGTACCCGAACGCCGCGTCGTAGGGGTGATAGACCGAGTGGTACGGCCATGTAGCTCCAGCTGCCAAGTTCTCTTTGAGATCAAGTCCCGCTGCAGCCTGCGTACGAAAAAAAAAAAAACAAAAATTAAGCACACACGTATATATTATGTATCGGGGTGAGCTGGTTTATTAACGTTATTATAACACGGCTGTATATACGTAGATACGCGTGTATACAGGAGTAACAATATTGGGGACGGCGCGCACATATCCGTTTTATTGGTGCACACGTATACCGACGACGAGTACGTCGTGACGAACAGACTATTCATGGCGTATAATGGGTGCAACGCATACATTATGTAATTATTCTAAAATTTGTAAGTGGAATGTACACGGACGACGTCACTTTCTGCGTCCAAAGGGGTGGTTTTAAATAGCTTACACGACGTGTAATACACGTATCGTACCGCGAGTCGTATGCTATAATTGCTATCCAAAAAGATGAACTCGAGAAAACATAACTTATTTAAAGCTGTCGAATGTTCATGTTGTATTTATACGTGTTTTGACAAAATGATCCGGTACAGCTTGTACACGGAAAACTGACAATTGTCTGGAATGAAACGACAGCGTGGGTTTGCGAAATTTTATGAATACAGTTATTAGAAAAAACGTAAATATATTATACCCGGAACGCGAGGTGGTAAAGCGATAACTGATGCACAGGACTCTGTTGGCTTTAAACGCCAATAAAAACGACGGGTATCGCACACGGTCAATCGCCGTTCGTTGTATGCTTTGTACGAATTGCATGTATAAAGCTCACAAGGCTACATAACATTATGCGTACACACAAGATATGTCCCGAACACACGACAGAACCATGTCCAAAGGTTGATAAAACAAAGTTAATGTTCGCGAGTACGATAATAGTATTAATGTATAACTCCATTATGTATTATATTAAATTATACACTCGGTCCGATATTATCATGATTAACCGAAATTCTGTTCTTATTACTTAGTGCACGTACTTGTATGCGTTGTATACATTAAAATAATGTACAGACGTATGTTATAATAGTTTCCCGATAATGATAATTATTTTATACGGAGAGAACATGTGCTCGTATTTATATAACTCAACATTTTACATAATTTATCGTTATCTTATCGGCAGTGCTATATTTCAAAACATTTGTTTCTTTCAACACATATACACCGGCTCATTAAATTTTATATTATTTATACGCTATTTATATTGCACATTGGTATTTTCGAGACTCGTCACATAGTACGAAACGTTCGGAACAAGTTCAATTACAGTCATAACCTTAATAAATATATTAATATTAAATAACGTATTAAGACGTTTTCGAAAACTAAAGCGTTTTCGTTAGACGATTATTTGTAATAATGATGTACAAGTACAAACCGAACGAGACGGTTTGAATGGTAACGAAAATGCGGTTCGTCGACAATTATTCGTAATCGAAAGTATTTAAAGTGTATAAGTTCCGACGTGGACGCGCGCGAACATAGAAGTAGTCAGTGGCATACTTACGGGGAAAGGAAGTTCGGGTTCTAACCCTCCCCCCAATGGCCAAAAAAAAGTTATAGTTATTTTTACGCTTCGAGCTAAGAGTAAAAACATGATTTATGGGTGTGTTATGGTTGTGTTTACTAAAAAATGCATGTTTGTATGAATATAAATTGATAATTCATTTTTACAATTATTTTAGTACAAGCTTTTAAGAATGAGGTAATATCGATAAAAAATGTTCGGCCGTACGGGTATAACATTACAACTATGTCTTACAAAATAAGAGAGACATTTGGGCGGGGGTCATAACCCGTTACCCTTCCCTCCGGCTACGCCACTGCCTTTGAGTGATTGTTGAAAAAAAATTAGGTAGTTTTTGATGTGAATTTTTTTTTTTTTATTGAAACCCACTCCTCGCAGCGTAGGAAATTTGAACGTAGGCCACTGGTAGCGGTAAATACGCGGTACGAAAAACGTTCGCGGGAAACTTACGGCTGAGTAGAACGGCGGCTGGTCGGAACCGAGGGCCGGGAAATAGGCGGCCATGCCCTCGGGATACGGAGCGGTGTACATGGACAGCGCGGGCACGCCGGACGCGGCCAGCCGCTGGTAGCTAAGGAGATCGTACTGGCACGAACAGACGGTCTGCCCGGTGATGGGGTCGGTGAATATGGGCCGGCCGGTGTCGCAGCACCGGGGCGGCGCGGCGGCCGCGGCGGCGGTGGACGTGCTGACCGTGGCTACGGCTGCGGTGGGACTGCCGCCGATGGACGACGGGGCCGTGGACGACGGCGGCGGCGGCGGCGGCGGCGCTGTGCCTCCGGCGGACGACGGCGACGATGTACTGTTGGACGACGCCTGTTGTTGTGGCTGCTGCTGTTGCGGTTGCGGCGATACGGAAGATAGACGTCGGTGGTTGGCGGACGAGAGCTGCAGCGGCGGTGGACTGGACGAAGACGACGAAGACGTGTGCGGCGGCTGTGCTAACAGTGACTGCGGCGGCGCTAATGCGGTCTGGAAATGAAAAAAATCGAAACAATATTATTATCCGATCATCCCGTTCTGTACTTCTATCGGTCTCTATCTGTGCGCAGTATATTTGCAGGGAAATCAAAAGGTACCGCAATGTCAAAGACGAAACGCAGAAAAAAAAAACCAATACGCGGACGCTGGTTACAATACAACACGGTTAGATCGATACTTATACTACATGTAAGCAATGCAATTTTACAAAAAAAAAAAACAACATTACATTAAAATTCGTTTTCTGGTCTGCACACGTACGGTTAAGTGTTATCAAAAATACCGATTAATATTAAGATAATACGCGGTTCATCTCCTGTACAGTATTTATTCATCTCGTATACTAAATGAAAAAAACTCGACGCGTATCATAACACACACAACGCAAGTGCTGAAACGCGAAATCAAATAACGTAATGTACGATTTACGCTGTTAGAGGTGGCCGTTACACGTTGTTATCGGACGGAGTCGACTGCTGCGACACGACCCGATGTCGACGAAGACATAGGAGTCAACGAGCCGTGTGATCCGCGGGACAGTTGTAAAAATCGTATATCACATGCGTTTTTCGGCCGTCATTGTCGGGCGACGAGTGTTGTCACACGGATGGTCGGATTTTGACGTGCGCGTGTACATACCGTGTATACGAGTGCGTGAACGATTTTTGACGAAATAATAACAACGCGCACAACATCAAAGCGGACGTCAACCGAGGCGATATACGTGTGTATACACGAGAGGTAAACGACGTGAGTGACAAGCCGCCGACCGCTTTTGTCGTCGCGCACAGGGCACCGGGGTATACGCGCGTATTGTACAAGTATTGTACATGTATATGGACGCCTGCAGGTTTTGTACGGGCTCGCACCGAGCATAAAGGGATGTGGTGTAACACAACGTCCGATTCCGTCCGACCGACGTTTTCGCGATGCAAACTACCCAAGTGTTCAAGTGTTTAGAACGACTGCACGCGCGTACGCAACATGACGACGTAGGTAGAGCCGCGCGCGCTAATCAACTTCTTCCCGTGGTACGGATTTCCAAGCTTATCGTTCAAAACTTACACAAATACTAGACGTTTAACGACCCATTCGGAAAACGGAACCGAACAATCAAATGCATCAATTTTTATGTGTAGGTACACACCCACTGCTGATGCTGTTTCACGTCTGAACAACAGCAGCGGCGAATTAATCTCATTCGGATACCCTTATTCGAAGTATTACAGAATCGGAAGAAAAATGTCGGCGTCGAATCCCAAACGACGGAAACCTGTGGTGAAGGTGACAAATACGAGAGCTGCTCCCGCAACGACAATAATATTATGATAACGGGTCGGATGAAAAACCGCGCAACGAGATCGCATGTACACGCCGGTCATCGATCTGCATCCGGTATTGTACAGGTTTATATGTAAATTAAATCACTACACGATATCAGATTTATGGTGTACGCGATGATGAGCTGCTCGGAAACGCGAGAGAAACATATAGGTACTCACGTGTACACGTGTAAACGCGTAGTTGTACGGGAAAACCGAGAATCCATCGCTAAACTGTATACTGCGGTTCGAGATGTTTGCCTGTCCGGCTATGCATTATACGCATTGAGCATATATACCACGGTCGTATAATGTGTACGTAAAATAATGATGTAGTCCTAACAGTATAACACGTATGTAATACACGATCCTAGACCGAGTGGTGCCTCTAATATTACAAAACTAGAATATACGAATGGCGGTCTTCGTTACTAGCTCCTCCTTGTTACATAGGTGCATTGATGTACGTATATGAATATTATAATGAACCCACGTGTATATCTCTATGTATTACAAATATTGGGTTACAATTTTCAGACGAGATACGTTTCGTTTGTTTAGTAAGTCTTCCGTTTTTAATTTAATAAAAATACCCGGTTACATTATATTAATAGTGTATTTAATATAATTTTACGGGAAAGACTTATATTTATTCGCCAACTAGGTACCAATCGTATACGTGTTAATATTAAGGTTTTATAATTTCCATGTATACATTCGTAAGAAAAAATGTGTATTGTGACACGTGTCAAATTTCGAACATTTTATACCTAAAAGTATATTAATAATTTATTTCCTGCCGTAGAATTTGAAATGTCGGCAACTGATTTTGTAAGTTTATTATATTTAACTATGCGATAGCTGTAGGTCATAATATTTAATTACACGACTAATTTTCTTCCCCGCATGTACATTACTTGAACGTAATTTTTTGTCTACACAGTAACGTAGGTATACATGTATATGCAATCAACTCGAATATGATTATAATTAAAAACAAACTACGGCTTCCTTAATGTAACATGACAATTTAAAGTTGAAATTAGTTAAGATTATGATTATGTTTTCAGTTAAGAAAGAAGCCGTTTTACTCGAATGTGCGTGTATATATGTATATAATGATTATACGACCGAACGCGCGAACTAAAAACCCGTTAAGTTTGCGATGTACTTAATTATTTCAAACACAAGGCGTACGTAATATTTTCTCGGATAAAAAAAAAATACGAACAACGCTTGTGTTTATAAATATGAATATCAACGGGAAATGTAATTCTGCGAACAATGATTTCGTTCAAAAAATACTTAAGACGTTAAATATTAGACGCGTTTATATTATGTTTTATTCATTCTTTGAAAATGCGACACATTTAAAATATATTATGTATAAGTATATACGTACGCGTCGTGCGTGCATGTTGCTTTGATATTTGTTTGAATTTATCTAGCCGTTTCAATGTTTTCTTTGGTAAGTAAATATTTCACTTAACCGTAGAACTCGGACGACCGAGTCGGATATTAGATTTCGCGGTACAAACACTGGTTGTCGCCCACGCGATAATCCGTTTGCGTGTCGAAAACAAATAAATATACGTAGGACATAGGTACATACTATATAATGCACGTGCAGAAATAAAACCATATATAATATATAAATGTAATTTACACTTCTCTCGAAAGAAGGGTCGAGCTGCGGTGGTAATACAAAGGCGATAACTCAAGAAAAATCACATAATCATAATATACGGGTTTACGAGAGCGGGGCACACGAACGAGGACATTATCGGGAATCAATTTTTTCGCAAATATTCCTGCGGTACATATAATACATAAATAAATAAAAAAATAGAAATAAATCGCGGTGCAGACGTTAATGTTTTAATCGAATTTCCGAAACCGAAATAAACACCCGAGGCCTCGACAACATGACTATGTTCCCCAAAAGTTTGTATATATTTAAACGTGTACGTATGAGTATTTAAAATTATATCAAACGTATATTTAAGTATAAAATACTCGCAGGCAAGCACCTCAGAAATAATAATTTTACATAATATTAATCGGACATCACTCGAACTTATCACGGGCACACGCAATTTGGCAATCTAAACTCTATTACATATTATATTATGTCGTATGTTAGTATACCTGTAATATACTCATGTGTCACAAGAACCTGCCCGAAACTTTTGACGACGAAAACTGTGTTGGCGGATTAGTTTACGTGTTAGGCTCGTTTGTATCGCAATATTATGTTCGTTTTGAAATGGAAAAACGCGATATTGCGAGCGGTGTGCTATATAAAGGAACTACTGTTAGCCCGTGCTCTTGTGTGCTCGAAAATTGTTGCGTGCCGAGAGCACGCGGTAATGAGTTTTGAGAGTAGGGACTGGAAAATAAAAGAAAAACCGAAAACAACAATAACACGACCTGTTTCGTTCTAATTAGAACTACTATCGCTGTGGTTATTATTCAATAATTAATAAGACGACCGTGCATATATATGTTTAGATATAAACACATATGCCTGCCTGTGTATATATTTTATTCACAGGTACGTTTGCGATAAAAAGGGCCTTCGAACACGCGGACACCTATGTCGGCATATTTATAACATCTTGTTCCCCAGCGCGTTCAAACCTCACGTGTCAATGTATGTATATATAATGTATGTGTATATAATGTATATATTATACGTGCGTTATGTGTGTATATAAAATATCTCACGGGCGTGTGTGTATTCAAACTCTTAATACGCTTTATATATAATAAACCATACACAAAAATATATGTGAGTTTGTATGTTTCTACATATATTAAGATACGAGAAATTAAACCCTATATGTGCGTGGGCATAAAAAAATATCGTATAATATAAACGTATATTATGTACAACTGCATAACATACGCACACACATTATAATGGTATATGATGCGTTTCGACTTCGATTGTTTTATATATTTCTCTCTTTCACTCTCGCACTCTCTTTCCCTCTCGTCTACAGACGACGGCACTACCATTTGAAATGACACAATGGAATAAGAAACAAATTATAAACTATATTGAATCAATAAGCGTGTTATTGTTTTTGGCCCTCAATTGTGTATAGGTCAGTAGGACCGCCGTCGCCGCTATACCTTTTAGTATTCACCGTGTAATTCGATTTTTAGCCACCGTACGTATACATATTAAAATAATATACTATTTACCGCATACACCGAACAATTATTATTTTTATGCATACGACGTGTGTAATAATATATATACATATGACTCGTTCGTATTACGTACAATGGACAATCGTCGCGCGCGCGCGCGCGTGTGTGTGTGTGTGTGTGTGTGTGTACAGTTAGTACATATAAATGAACATAAACGTGCTACGGTAATACACAATAATAGTATAAACGGCGCGTGCCTTATAACGATACCTTATAACCCGTACATGGTCGTACGGAGTAGAATATTGTTCACTTACGTAAACTTACTCTGTACAATATTCCTACGAGATGTGTTCGACACGCGGTAACAAATGCGTCCGGGACACGGTTTAAGTACTATAACGGGCGCGCGAGAAAATAATAATATCGATCGATAAACGCAACACGTTACTATCATCGGAAATCAAACCGACCGTTATCGACTTAACCGCGGTGAAATCCAAAAGCCGTATAATGCGCGACGAGCGGTGTATTACCGATTACGTTTTGACGTGTACCGAATTATGATGCGTGTAATATGCTACGAGTGGAAAATTCGTATTTCTGTACTATTAATAATACAACGGCGTTACGGTACTTTACTTACAGGACCTGTAGCGTCGTAGCCGACCGATGACATGATCCTCCGGCACACGTATTACGACGAATGAAAAACAGTTGAAATCACGTCGACCACGACCGCGGTAATAATAACGATAATAGAAATGACGATGATTGTTGTTCAGGACCCTAGTGCACGACGTGAAATCCGCGTCCGATGCGAAGAGGCGCACGCGCGAATTACACTTGCTCGGCCGGAGTTCGGACGCAAACAACGGACGGACGCGCGCACGTCTCGCGTACGGCTATTGAATAATAAATAATTAAGATGATGATAATATTTTGTAACACTAATAAATAATAATTAAAACAAAATAATGATAATCGCGTGGATGGGCGGGCGTGAGCGGTCGCGTTAAATAAATCGACTAGCGGTGGCGACGTCTCGGCGGCTTTCCCCGAGATAACCGAAATCGCGATTATTATTAAATTGCATGCGCGGTGTACATCACGCGCCGATCGAAAAACACGAGTTTACCGTGAAATCAAAATACAATACATATTTATGAGAGCACTCCGCCGGAGGGGTCGAATCATCGTTTCGGGCCGAGTAGTCCCACACATGGATTCTGAAATGCACTCGGACGGTATATAATGTTGTACGTGCACGATACAGGTCAGGAGCACGTTCCCTGTACACTCGGATCGTAACGCGGTCGATCGCGATCGAACTCGAATTGGATTTAGGTAGAAAACTTTTTTTGCGGGAGTTTGTGTATTTTTCATTTTTTTAACAGCAAACTGTTTTTCCGACGTGCATTGACTTTTAGCGGTATCGCTGCCACGGCAGAATATCGCGTTCGTAGTACAATGAATTCATTTTATTTCGGTCTCGGCGTAAAGTATTTTAACGCAACGTTTTCAACGCGGTCAGAACATGCAAATAGTTTTTTCTTCGGATTCCTTTAAAATCCTTTAAACGAATTCAGTCTATGATGTCCAATCGATGTCGGATACAACGTGACGCTTTTAATATGTATTGTAACGATTGATACATATTATTAATGTCTACTCATGTAATATGGATATTGCTGAGTAGACATTACGTTAATTTACATGTTTACGACATTACATTAGGTCGCGGCAGTTCTGCCACGACGTTCTTCCGACTTAGCTGAACTCCATATTGTCTTGATATAATCCATAGTCCGTAAGTCATATTTATATGTGTATATTAAATAATAATAACTAAATTAAATCAATCTACAATTATTTGTAATGTTAAAATATTTCCTTTTATGCTCCCAAGCTACGGTATAATATATTCACAAGGACTAGAAAACCTTTCCTAAATATCATATATTTAACTGGTCATCCCCGACCACGTTACAGTATCTTGGTAAACGTATCACGGTCGAAGTATGTTTTGTATATATGTGTTTTTATAATTGAATAAATAAAATTTATAATTATCTAGTAATATTTAATTTTTATTATAAGTAATATCATTACTGTAATGATACAAAAAAAAAATAGTATACGTAATAGTACAAAAATAAAATACAGGTATAATCGATCCTGACTATTTTTACACAAAATACTGCTAACTTGTCTCAATTTTACACAATGTAATTTATAAATAAGTGATGGGTAAAAATAGTTTATTAGAAGAAAAGAGTAATTCGATCAATTTCGGCTATCGCTATGCCATTATTTCATAGGGTTGTTTATACTTCTACAAATATAAAATAGTATGGTTTCGGGTTTACTCGAAAATTATATTATCCAATGCCATATGAAATACGCAATATAAAACACGTACTATTATTTAATTATATTGTATATGAATGTGAATTTTTAAAATTTCAAATCGAAGACTTATAGCATTCTTAAAGCTAACGCGACCCGAAGTTGGATCGCGACCGACCGGTTGAAGACCACTGGCCTAAACCCTTAAATTTCGCGAAAACATTGAGTGTAATAGGTTTGTACATTAGATTAAATATAAAATACGATTATAAATTATAATCGTGTTTTTCTCTTACCGTTTTAACCTGAATGTTATTTTTCGCGCGCTTCTATCGACAAACGTTGTTTATTGAAATCATAACGACCCGAGATTGTATAACGTACCCGTACGCGCGTATTATAATACACCTAATATAACGCGTGCACGTAGAATTATTTCGCAATCCCAACGATAATTCGGATAGTAATTTTCGTTCTCGGAAAGATAATAAGTGTACTATAATATTTGTACATAATAATAACGATGACTGTAAAGTTCTTGCTCATAACCAATTCTAATTATACTTAAGAACATTATATTGCAATTTATCGTTCATATAAGTATCCGATATCACAAGTGTACACAACGCATGTATTGAAGTGTGTGCGAATAATTGCTACAAATGTTATAATGTAAACGGGCAGGTTTGAAATGTAAGCGAATAACAAGTTTTTTATTTTTATTAAATCTAGTAAAAAATATAAATAATTACACCCGTTATTAATATAAGATTTCTAGTTAAATCATGCAAATTGAATACGTAACACGGTAATTTATATAATGTACGCACATTATAAATTAGTACGATAGATGTAAATATTTAGGTGTTTTGAACCGAAAACACGGCTGTGGTGTAACATCCGTAATTGTACGGTACAAGTGTAATTATTCAGAGCATAAGGTCAGACCTAATAATAGTTTGTGGGAACTCAACACTTGAATCTTTATTTTATTAACAGAGACATACGCACATTATAGGACAGTTTTGGTGCGACGTGATGAAAGCCATATTATTAAACATCGTAATGCGTCTTTTTATGATGTACACTTCCGACGGAATAGCAATGTTCAAACCGACGATGGTCCGAACGCGCACGACTGTTAACCACGGATTTACGAAAATCAATAGATGTATATAAAAACGGAAAAAAAAAAATAGGGCGAAAAAATGCAAGAAAAAACGTAAGGTTTCGTTTTCGATATGAAAAAAAAAAAAACACGAATGACCGCGGAAATGGTTCCGGTACACCGCGTTGAGGTGTTATGACGGGCGCCTTACCTGATGTCCAATATTTTTGGCGAGTTGCTGCGAGAACTGAGAAGTCATGGTACGCGGGAGACCCGCGGTTTTGAGACGTTTCTGGACACGCGCGGGCGCGCGCTACGAGACCACGCGCAACACGATAACGGGCGTCGTAACCACGGTGCGGTCGTCGGCCACGGCTGCGGTGCTCGCGCAACGATTCATTGGCCGCACAGATGTGTATGAATGTTTCTGGTTCCGACGGGACG